CTGAGCTTCCTCCATTTTCCCTGAGAGGTCTTTAAAGAGAAACGGGGAGTCTTGGTGCATTGGACTGACTGAACCGGGCATCTCTCATAGTATTTCCTACCTCTGTCTTGAGATATCTGAGCAGGTAGCTTCAATTATAACCACCTTACTCCCCTAGGGCCCAGTTCCCCGACTTTCCCCAGGTCCCTTGGTGCCTTGCCCTGTAGAAGCTGAGCTGAGTCAGATCTCACTGTGCTGTCTAGCATTTGGGGATGATCTTTGCAATAATTCACTGCAACCTTAGAGTGTCTTCCAGCCATTGTTTCTGATTCTTTGCCTACCACCATAGCATAGCACAGCCTTACCCCTGGGATCCCCATCGTGAAGTAGAGTAACAAGTGGCCTTGTTCTCGCTCATTTCCTCCCCTAGGAAAGCCTGTCAGCCTGAGCTACAGATGTCCTTGCCGATTCTTTGAGAGCCATGTCGCCAGAGCCAACGTCAAGCATCTGAAGATCCTCAACACTCCAAACTGTGCCCTTCAAATTGTGTAAGTCTTAACCATCACTCCAGATGCGCTGTATCTATAAGCACAATACAGAAAGCCTCAGACTTGCCGTAATTAGCGGCAACTGTTATCACCACGAGAACTCATGGTACACCATCAGGCAGGAATTTCAAAAGTTACTTTTGTTCCTGGCCCCCTCCTAGGCTCAGTGTTGCTGACCCCTTCTTTCTAAGCTGCTCCTTTCTGCACAGCTGGCTGCTTCTTGGACAGACTTCACGGAAGCTGGGCAGTAACTAGTAACAATTATGTCTGTCCTGTCAGTGTCAGGGCTCTGGCATCCGAAAATTCCTCACGTAGCAAAAGAGCACAGACCTGCATTAAAAACGCAGCCGAAGTCATTTTTAACCATTTGGTGAAGCTTCAACCTTTTGAGGTCACTCTGCTTTCCACTCTGTTTTTATTTTTGCTTGATGTTGGTGGCACATGGCAACATTTGATTTAAATTTAGGTGGGAAATAAGAAAAATCCAAAGTACATACCCAATCCACAAGACACAAAGATCTCACCTGGGGGTGCAGGAGCCTGGCAGAGATAAGCTACGTGCCTGTGCTTGGGGGAGTCCATATTGGACTTGCCTGTCCTTAACGCCCAAGATGGTGAGAGCTCGGAGTCCTCTAGGAAGGATGCATGTGTTCAGAAGTCCTAACGCTAATGGTGGGGAAAGGACACAGCTGTTGGAGTAAAAGCTGCACCATCCCAAGGATTTGTCCATTCAACAGTCAGCACTGTAGGTCTTCTTCCCTTCATCTGTCTTCCTCTTTCAGCCTTCATGGCTTTATATATGTTACGCACAACGTGCATCAGGGACCCGGAGGATGAATATTTTTTTGCTATTTTGATTATAGTGCAATACTCCCGAGAAGGGTGTCTTAAACATAGTGAATTTAGCTAGTATGGACCTGTTTGCATAGGTTATGCTGGTCTACTTTCTTGCCTGGGAATGGCCCTTTGAATTGATGGTGCCAAATATAGTTCTCAGGTCTAGTTAAGCACTAGATTGATAAATGGCTACATCCAAATGTCCACCTCATATCCCTAGTCAGATCCCTCTCTTCACACCCGTTCAATGAATGTACATCCTACTTGAAGATGTCTCACTGTCCCAGAGCCATTGGGCAGGGCCCAGTTGTTCCCGTAGACCACTCGGTGGCTGGACAGTGGTGTTCTCATGCTATTTGGCATACAGGGATTTGTGGGTAAGTTTAACTCGCCATCAGGAGATTTCATACAAGGAAGATTTAAGCATGGGAAATATAAGAATATTCTGTGAACTTGTAAAACCTCTGGAAACCATTTTTTGACAGTTCACCTATACTACCCCCCAACTGTCCTCCTCCTTCCCCCACTCCTCCTCTCCATGAACTGTCCCCCCAAGAATACTGTAATCTTCTTTCTGAGCTACACTTGTTTGTTCCATGTGCCATCAAGATTGTCCATCCCAGTGAAAATTCTGTATCTGGTACTCTCTGGTCTCTGGAAGTTTCCACGACCTTCCCCATGAAGTCTCAGTCACTGGCCCTTCCATGCAGCCCCTTGAGCATCCCGTCCCCACATCCTCTGGGCTCTTTGACTCCTTTGTGTGTTTGCTCTTGGTTTCGCATTTGCTTTGTCCACTTGCCAAGCTCCTGCTTATCCTTTAAAGGCCAAAATCTCAAACGCTTTCCACGGCGGCTTCTCCGAGCATTTTTTAGCATGTGGCTATCTCTGCAAACCTTGAGCAACTGTCAAACCTGAGGTGGCCGTGAGGGCTCTTGGACCCTTTAGGGATGTATTATGGGGTGTATTGGGTGAGTGCATGCAGGGCCTTCTTCCCACTCGGCTGTACAGGGTCTCTCCTTCTGTTTCGGCAGGGCAAGGCTGAAGAACAACAACAGACAAGTGTGCATTGACCCGAAATTAAAGTGGATTCAGGAGTACCTGGAGAAAGCTTTAAACAAGTAAGCACAACAGCCCAAAGGACTTTCCAGTAGACCCCCGAGGAAGGCTGACATCGGTGGGAGATGAAGGGGCCAGGGTGGGAGGGCCTGAACCCTGGCCAGGTGGGCCTGCGGGGCAGCGCTGACTGGGGTTGTGCTGAGGTTTGCCAGCACCTAAACACCACACCTATAGCATATGGTACGACATTGCATCTTGTATTCATCCATGCCCTCACTTGTGCACAATGGAGCTTTTATAACTGGGGTTTTTCTAAGAAATTGTATGATGCTAACCAGTTAGCTTCATCCTCATCTCCTCCTCCTCATTCATACTCATTTTTAAAATCAGTGATTACCTTACGATCTGTATTTGGTTTCTTTTGGAGCCTCTTCTCTCCTGCCCAGGGTCTCTGGGCACAGTTAGGGGTTGTGGCTTTACAGGGAGCTCCAGGAGTATCCTCCTAGAGCAGAGTCCAGAGAAAGACTGCAGGGCATGTTCTGCAAGGGGTGCCCTTCCGCAGATGCCTCCCCGTGAGTCCTATACAGAGCAGGACTGGGCAGTGGCCATGGCCGCCCCCTCCTCTTTCCAGTTCAGTGACTGGGCCTGAGTAAGAAAGCTCCCTGTAGACGCGAACCCTGAGGTCTATGCTCAGAGACCCTCTCCTGCCACTTCCCCTCTGCCCGCCTCCAAAAGCATGCTTCACCTGCATCTGCTTCTCAGTTCTGGAGCCTGACAGATCAACACCATGCCATGGGAAGGAAGGAAGGAGAGTGATTGGGAGCCCCTCTCTCCCTCCTTCTCCCCCCTCTGCTTCCCTCTCACTTGGGCCCTCTGTGAGACTTTTCTTTGGCCTCCTGCAGAACGGAGCCAGCCCCTCCCGGACAATGTGAGAACTTGCCCCTACTTTCCCACTAAAGACAAGTCTTTGCAGAACTGGAGCAATTTTAAATCTGATAACTTACTTTGAACAATTCAATTTCTCCAACTGCCGCTAAAACCTGTGTATACCAACCACAGTAGCTCTACAGGCGCTGAGGTTTCTGAAATCACAGGTCAAAATAAATGAATAAGCCAGCATCTTGCCATGAACTCCTTCTCCAAAGCAACCATCAGAGATTTCAGGCTCAATATGTGGGCAAGATGAAACTTCATGCATGCCCGTGATCCACAGAAGGCCCTGGTGGTATTTGTAACTCTTTGCAAGGCATTTTTTACATATATTTTTGTGCACTTTTAAAATGTTTCTTTAGAAAACAATGTATTTCAGAATATATTTGTAGTCAAGCAATTCATATATTTGAAGTTGGAGCCATAATCCAGTAGAAAAAAATCTTAATGATCTTAAACTACTGGCAATTTGTAAAGAAATCTATATGATATATAAATGTGATTGCAACTTTTCAATGTTAGCCACAGTGTATTTTTTCACTTGTACTAAAACTGTATCAACTGTGACATTATATGCACTAGCAATAAAATGCTATTTGTTTTCATGATATGAACTCCCTACTGTATGTGGGAATTTATTTACCTGAAATAAATTCATTAGTTCTTAGATGGAATACATAGACATTTCAGAAGATTGCTCAAACAAGCTGAGGTGCTGGTCAAGTGCTGTGGACCCTGATTCAGGGCCCTGGGTGAGCCTCACTGCACAGGCTTTTCCATGAGCAGATTAAATCTGCAACTCAAGTTTTTTGGCCTTTTTTTAAAACAAAACAAAACAAAAAAAAAACAATGGACGTAGAATGCTAATTTTCTGATGAATAATATTTGACTCACTCATTCCTTTTCCTAACATCCTCATGTAATCCCCAGACTCAACCCCGATAATATCAAGCTTTCCTATTTTCCCATGTAAAAAAAAAAAAAAAATCCCATGACTCCAGACCATGTTTAACATCAGGCTTTTGGGGGAACAGGTAGCCTCACCCCATAAATCATTAAATACCATTGAGCTTGAATCACTTTAATGTGACAGTCACAAACCAGTTGCTCTAATAAAACTCTGCTAACTATCTCTCTCCTTAGCTCTCTAGAACAATCTCAGTTATCCCTAGAGATGCTCCCCGGCACCCAGAAAGGAGAGGTGGATCAATCATGTGGCCTTCTCCTCTCCTGGGGCCTCCAACTTCCAAAGCACTATTTGATTTGAAATGTAGAGGCATTTTTGAGGAGAAGGCAGAGTGTCCAACTCAGCACTGAAAGGAAGGCAGGCCCTGGGTGTCCCTCTGCTGCCTCTGAGATGCGGGTTTCTGTCTCTAGTGGGAGCTTTGCGGGGAGGGTATAGTTGAAAGGAGAACTGGCTCAGCAAACTGTCAGTCACTGTAAGCAGTTCCCAGACCAGCAGTCCCAACAGGTTTAAGGACGCCTGTTATATTTGGGGGTGGGGGGCAATATCTAGCTTACTCTAATGAACTGCCAATGAACTCTGCTTTGCCAATGGGTCTCCAGGCCTCAGACTGTAGGCAGAATTAAATGGATTAGCGGGATAGTGCTAAATATCTTGCAGACTAAGGTAAATGCCTATGTATTTCAATGTGATTAATGGTTCTACTGATTTTATCTAAGGGGGCGCAGAGAAGAAAAAGTGGGGAAAAAAGAAAAGATAGGAAAAAAGAAGCGACAGAAGAAGAGAAAGGCTGCCCAGAAAAGGAAAAACTAGTTATCTGCTTCCTCCAGCTGGACCGCAGTGCTCTCTGCTCTCCGCGCTTTGTAAATTCGCTCCACCCCTCTTCCAGGGCAAACCCCACGCCCTGAGCAGGTGCTCAGACTTCATGAGGGGCAGCACTTTCCTGCCCTGGTGGCCACGCCAGCTGCTCTATTTATGTGCTTCTTAAGGTCCTCCTTGGTCTACTAAGTTATGAAGAAAGTAGGTGTTGAAAGGCCGGGGTGGTGGCTAAGCCACAGAGTTCACGTGCCCAGGACCTGTCTGGCCTGCTCTGAGCTGAATCCCAGACCAGGAGTTCACACCCAAAGCCTGCAATCCTGGGAAGACCAGGGCGGTCTTCTGCTTGCCTAGGAAGGGCGATGTGCCTTAAGCTCTGTCTTCCCCTCAGCCACACTACCTTTGTGGCCTTCTCAGGAGAAGAGGTAACTGACTTACTCTCAGTCCTGCCATGAGCTTTTTCCAAGTACCTCTTGCCTGCCCACCCCCTCCCCCCGCCCCCCATCACCACTCTGCAGTCCAGGAAGGAATCTCAGCCCTCCCTGACTGTGTGACAGCTTTACCGCCAGTCTGGTTGGGTTTCTCCAGACAGTGTGGGATGAGCAGGAGGGAAAGATACACTCTCGGAGGACAGATGTGGCCTGTTTCTCAGGAAGCCTCCTCTTTGGACAGCTCACATAAGAGTCTTTAAACGGGTCCCCCATGGGGAGGACAGATGTGCTCTGGAACTTTGTGAAGAGCCAGCAGCTTCAGGGACTCCAAGTCTGTCCCTTCCCCGTTTGTCACCCATGTCTCTGACAGTGTGCTATCTGGGTGCAGCTGCCTCAGTTTTCAGTCCTGGGAAATGTCTGCCTTCAGTAAATATAGTTAAAGTTCTAGAACTTTCTACTACCTTACTCCAACCTCCCCTGGCAGTTTATGTCTGCTTTATTTTTTTGTCTGTTTGGTTTGGGTTTTGTTTTTTGCCACTTTGGACTGGGAAAATGGAGGGCAAGGCCTGACTTCAGTAGTGTTTTGAAAAAGGACACCTTGAGTTTCTTGACCCTCCTCTTCACATCATGTAAACACACACACACACACACACACACACACACACACACACACACACACACACACACACACACACACACACACACCTCTTGTACCCCAGACCTCTGGGCATAATTTCCATAACTGGTGCAGAAAGAAGAAATGGTTGGAGGACAGAGCAAATGGATTTCAGGGAAAGGAAGTTCAAGGGCTCAGTGTGTCAGACTCTCCTGGGTCCCTATAACACGTTCCTTATGACTCCAGCACTACACAGGTATAACCCTCCATTTTCCTTGTTGGAGAAGCATCCTGCTAGGGAGCTTCAGGGAAGACTCGGTGTTACCAGAGGCTGTCTCTTATCTGGACAGTTTTACTTGTCCTCATTCTCAGCGCTGAGGATAGCAGGCTAGACTACAGATGGGCACCTCTTCGGATATCCAGCTGTTGGCTGAGCTGCCCAGGGCCACTACCCATGTTTCCTGTGGAAGCCAGCCCAGCTGAAGTCCGGTCTGGGCAGCCTCAGCCGTGGTTTTCCTGTTGTTATAAAAGCATCCCAGAAGGCCAGATCTGTGCCCAGGTCACAGCTCTGCTTAGAAAGGGGTGTCCAGTCCCTCCAGGGCACTGGGAAGAACTGTTACTCTCTAGCAAGCCAGGGCCAACCTGAGGCTACTCTGAGGTGAAGATAACTTTCTGCAATGCCCAGGGACTGTACCTCCCATCACCCATCTCCCACTTCTAGGGGAGTTGGCCGCAGGGGCTAGGAGAGTGGGCCACTCCTTAGGAAACACAGCAAGCTCTGCTGGTCATTACATGACTTTGAGGAGCCTCTATGCCTCATAAGATGCTTATGAAGCTCTTAAAGTGGGCAACCCCAGCCTGATGGATAGAATCTCCATGGAAATCCTGAGATGCTGACTTCATTCTGTGGGTGAAAACTGGGATGTGCCCTTGCAAGTCTTCAGGCAGGTGAGAAGGGAGGCCATGGTGCTGTCTGGCACAGATGCCTTCTGGGAGGACATGCAGCTCCCGAGAGGCCACCTCCAGACTGCCAAGGCCTCTTCTGATGGTGTGGTACCAGCTAAGAGATTTCAAGAAAGAGTGAGTTTTTGGTGGAAGTTGTGGGAAATGCCTCTTTCCAAAAGTTCTGAGGTCTGGGGATTCATGAAGACAGATGTGTGGCCTCAGAACTACTCCCACAATTTGCAGTGTGCCCTGTCATGTGTTCCTTGTGCCATGCCTTCTATGCCATTGTATGTCTGCCACACCCTGTGCTTGCCACGTCCACCAATCTCTACTCCCTACCATCATGTAGTCCTTTCACTTCAGCCCTGGCCGGGTCCTTCGCTGCTGTCTCACTCTCTCAGGCCTCAGAAGGAAGACATATCACGGCTACAAGCTGAAATGTGGAGTAGGGAGCCTGTGGCTCCTGCTGGGCCAGGCAGCCACCCGCTGGGGCCAACCCAGCATCCCAGACATGTGGTGAGAACCTACCTTAATGGTATCTCTTCTGTTCTTGTCAACAGGAGGCTCAAGATGTGAGAGGTGGGTCAACTGCCTGAGGAAACCTTACAGAAGGATCCTAGGTCTGAAGTCAGTGTTAGGGAAGGGTCTTGCAGCCATTTCCTCTGCTCCCTGGCAGGGCTGAAGGCATTTCCAAGGGCCCTGCTTGCACAGTTTGCTGTATTTTCACCATTTGATTATGTAGCAAATACATGGTGTTTATTTTTCATTTAGTTTGATTATCCAATATCATTGGTGACAGGCTAAGGCCACTATGTAGTTTCTTTTGTTATAGCATCTTTCCCAGGGAGGCCCTTCTCTGACTAGAGCCTCCCCTGGTTTAAACTGAGACAGGAGGCTCACCCCTTTACTGAATGGGAGCTCGGTGTTTCTCCTCCTGAGGATGGCAGGGTTTCCCCAAGCTGAGGCAGGAGTATGAGGCCGGGGCAGAGCAAGATGCATCCTCATTCCACGCTCTCATCCCATCACACGCTCATCATTCTCTGTCATCCATCATCATGTGTCTCCAAGACTCTCTCCGTGACTCTGAAAAAGGACTCTCTCAAGACGAAAGCTTTCATTCAAACTGGGCACCAAGAAGGAAAGGAAAATGCCTGGTGTTCCCTGAAAACACTGTGCACATCTGTGTCTTGTTTGGAATATTGTCTGTTGTTCAACCCTGTGTTTTTGTTCAAAGTCCATGTCTTCCGTGGTGTGACTGATATCTCATGCATCACTGTCCCTAGCTCAAATGTAAAGGCTGAGTGTAAAGAGATGTGACTGCCTGGGGCCCTGCACAGTCCCTGCGAGGCTGTGGTCATGGAGAATGAGAACAGTCCTGGTTTCCCCACTGGTTACAGGACCAATGCCCAAAGGAACGTGGTTTACAGCAGCGTTGAGCTATCCAAATGGCTGATCCTTGAGATAGTTCTCATCATAAAACTAATTTTTGTTTTCCAGGCACCGAACTCAACATTGTTTGGGGAATAACAATTCTCAA